ACAAAAGCATCTTAATGCATGAGCCTAATTGACGATTAAGACCTTTTATAGAGTGAAATCATACATGTTCTAACTTCAAGGCAAAAAAGTGAAGTGAACTCAAGTCGAGCACACTTATCCTACTTGTTTCATTTTGGACAGAACCGATGAATACGATGGGCAATGCTTTCGTGGCCTGTGGAGTGATTTACTGTATTGACAGCTATAACAGCAAGTCCACTACCATCAACTTTGCTTACGACACTAAGACAGGAAAACAGTGGAACCCCAACATACAGTTCACAAACCAATATAGAGTCAACTCCATGGTGGACTACAACCCCAGGGAAAAAGTCTTGTATGCCTGGGATCAGAAGCGTCTAGTCACTTACTCTGTGACTTTTGAGTAAAGTTAGATTAATCCGAAAACCAACAGCAAGAAAGAATTACCACATTATCTGATTGCTTAGCTGTTTTGTAGAAGATGCGCTCATACAAATTAACTTCAAAATAAATATAAGATTAACTTAATAATAAAATGTCAGCCGTAATTGTAGCTGGTAAAGCCACGAAGACAGAATAGCAGTAATTGCTGAATGCTCAAATAAAATGTGAAAACGATATCATGGCTATCTGCTTGTGGAGTTGTATAGGTAACTATCACGGTGATTGAAATGAAAAAAAGTAAAAATAACAGTCCCAGCGATTTTCCCTGATAACAAAAACAAAAAAACAACAACAACAAAAAAAGAAACATGTGAAACACAGAGATGGCCGTCAAGAAGTTTAGAGTTGCAGAGAGAGAATGGCTTTAAGGAGCTCCAGCAGCAAGGGAGGGGGGGGTGTAGGGGAGGTTGGTGGCTGAAATTGAACCGGGTTCGTTTTTACGCTACATTGTTTTTTGTACCAGGGTCTGGGAGTCGGGAGATTTGAGTCATGTGCTCTGGTCACTTAAAGCCGCCGCACACTAGCCGATTTTTTGTCGTCCTACAAAAATCTTCACTTGTCGGCTAGTGTGTCGGTGAATTCAGACAAGTCTGCGGCAAGATCGGGGCTTGCCGGGCGATATGTGACAGTGATAGATCTCAAAACGTCTTGTCGGGCCTTGTCGACTAGTGTCCAGTGGACCAAGACAATTTGTTCGAGCTCGCGCGCAAACAACAACTATAACTTTATTTACTCGTACATAAGATGTTTCCAGAAGTCGAAGGTATTGAGATCTTTAAGATGAGTAGGGATATTTTCCTAGAGAATAGTCGCTGTATAAGCAATTGTTTGTTTACCAGAATTGGTACGCACTTTAGATATGTATAGACTCAACCAATTAGGAAATGTCATGAGAGTCACGTCAGTGAAATAGGCGCCATCTTGATTTTGGATGACTCGGCCCCAAGCCTCAACGCGGTTAGTCGCGACAAAAAATCGGCTACTGTGAGGCAAGCTGATGGCCCAACAAATTTTAATCCGATTTGACCCCGACAAAAAATTTGCAGTTCTACGACAAAAAATCGGCAGTGTGCGGCAACCTCRACCAAGGATTAGAACTTTTGCCGATTGTAACGCTCGTGTTGAAGGTTATATATTAAGCTCTGCATCATGTTGTCATAAACAAATTGTGATAAAAAGTAGAAAAAAAAACTATCTTGTAGACATTACAAAAGGAAAGAATGGCTTAAGATATTGACGTGACTTTTTTTCAGTTTCGTCGAGTCCATTGGGGAGTGTCGTGTAATTGCTGTGCACTAACAACTGTTATGATATGAAGTTTCGATAAACATTGCTTGAAACAACTGAAACTACTTTCCTCTATAATTCCCTGCTGATACCCTTTCACAAGATAAGATATCACAGAGTGACAGTGTACCAATGGATAACTCTAATCACTGTTATGAACACTAAGTTGTTTTATTTTATTTTATTTTTTTTATTGTTTTGGCTTTCGTGTTTTTTCCTTATAAGCAAAACAGGTAACTCTTAATATCTCCTCTCTCTTAATATCGTGGCGTGGAATCCGGCGAAAGGTCATAATCAAATCCTTGAAAAAAGCTCCACAAACATATGGAGCATGTATGATACGTGCACAAACTCTGTTAAACTTATTTTCTACAAGTAAAAGTTCTGTAGATTTATATTACAAATAATTTATTATTGTGCTCACAGCTTTAAGAAACTGAAGCCATTTTACTTTGTTATCATTGACTGGTTACAGCTCCCTCGTGACTGTAACTTGAAGGTATGTATTGCTGATAATGACTAACTAGTGACTTGGGTCACTAAAAGCATCGTTCAAAACCCAGATGAAAGCCGCAAAAAAAGTTTTACATCAAAGGAAAAATAACACAAAAATTAGCACAGCTGAATTCGTATTCATTCTAAGAAAAGATTAAATTTTAAATCATTACAGGACTGCAAACTCGTCCTCGTCGTTACGCAAAATGCTCATAGTTCTCGCGACATTTTCACGGACTTACAGCTATGTTAAGGTAATCTGAACTCCGCTTTATAAATCATACAATTGACCTGGAAGAAAGACTAACAGTTTGCCATTGAATCTTACATAACAAAACAACTAAGTTGCTCTTAATCCAGCCACTGCCTATTACAGTTTTTTTTTACCCAATTCAGAGTTTATTGCCTACCATCTGACAGTGCCATGACCCTCCCCGAAGCCCAGTAATAGCTCCCTTGCAGAAAACAGATTTTACCCCACTTGAAACTAAGGACTCACGGAACAATTATCTCCTGATTGCTATCAGCTGTGGTTTTGAGGTCACCAGAGTTGTTTCTTAATCGATCTTGATTTGACATTTACTCACAAAGACGCTAACAAAAAAGTTCGTCTGGTTGCCAGTTCATGTGATAATCCCCTTAAACTTTTAGAATGTTATTCCCTATTTTCCTATTCCCCATATTTTACTCTGTTTTTTTTTTGGGGGGGGGGGGGGGGGGGGTGCAGCCCTTCCAACCCCCTGGCCCGTACGCCTATGATAATATAGAACTGCGGTTTGTGGGAAAATTTGGCCAAAGGAAAATTTTGCATTGAAAATTTAAACTGGGATTCCTTGCCTCTTGGCACAGCTGTGTCCTACAGATGTCATTGATAAAACACATTTCCAGAATCACTATAGAAATCAAGGGATTTTGCTCGAACTATTACGCAATTACTGATTGCAAATCAACAAGATCTCTGCTTTATTTATTTATTTTCTCTTGAAAAGTGGCCTTCCCCCAAGGCAGCCGGGCGGGCACCTGGCTAAAAGCCTGGATAGAAATCAGTTTGTTAAAATAAAGATATCAAGAAAAAGGCTCACTCGAAGGTTTACATGTACAGTATAGTATGGATGATAGATGCTTGGAAAAGTGATAGTTTTCTGATGATAATTTTTAACTGTCTAGAACAATATAATAATGAAAATGTCTTGCATTTAAAATTGTCTACATGTATCTTTCCAACTTCATATTTACTTTTTTTTAAATTTAATTTTCAATTTTACAAACTTCTTATAAGATTAAATTTGGAAATACAGTTAACAATAAAGATTAGCGAAAAAACTGGGCAACGACGTTTCGGTGTCATCCTGGCACCATTTTCAAGTTAAAAAATATTTGTGCGAAAAGTAAACTAATTTATACCAATGGTAGAGGTGCGAAATTG